GGAAATGTATGAAATCCGTCATTGTATACAATTCCTAGGAATTGTGTATAATCCCTAAAATCACCCGGAAATGTGTGATGTAAATTATAATAGACACATTTCCTAGGAATTTTACACATTTCCTAAACAGCAATCGGAAATGTATAAGATTCAATAAATACGCTTGGCCATGCGGTGCGAGGAGAGGGTATTGCATCATCCGATTACGCGGGGTCTCTATCGAATCGCTAAATTTTTTGCACGCCTAATTGTCTATGCCACAGACAAAAAAATGTTTTCATGCTAGGGGGTCGCGTCATGAAAAAGGTTGAAAAACACTGGTCTATGGCACACAAATTTTAAGCCTAATTTTTTTTTACACAAAATTATTTTTATTACGCCACTTTTTTTTCTCCGAAACTTAAATAGCGCTCGGCGGCCGCTACCGCGGCAANGAATGTGAGTTTATTTGTTTCGCTTAATAATTTTCTTTCTTCTTTCTTCTGCAGCTTTGCCTTGTGCCGATACCAATCGCAAAAGTGAGCATGAAGTTTCGACTCATGAAATCAGTTGCGAGGAGAGTGTCGAACAGCTTTTTCCTGGCATGGGGTGCTCGGGGTATTTTAACACAAGATGTAATGAAGATGTTGAGGAAAAGAGTATAGAGCCTCCACCCTATTCTCCGTTAACTCCTAAACCACTTAGCAATCACAATGAAATAACGCATGACAAACAAATATTCACTAACTCCTCTCCTAGCATTGTCCAGCACATAAAACGTTCTGAACCTGATGTTACGCTTCATGAAACAATTAATGAGAATAGAATCACACCTGTGTCTCGTCCCATAAGTCCAAGGCCCAATCAAAGCACTTTCCCCGATCAACTGTCATCACCTGTACGGTCAATGTCTCCAGAGACCACAAATATATATAATATTTTAAAGGAAGACTTCGACGACGAATGCAGAGTTTCACCAGCATCTTCTAACAGAACTGAAGTGATATTTGATGATGACGACTCAGTACAAGACCCGGATTTTGTTGGGGAAAATTATACTGGCGGCAGTGATAATAGTTCAGGAGAATCAGAATCACTGATTAACTCTATACCAAACATATATTCTGAAACTAATACTGATGACACTGAAACTCAAACTTCCAGCCATTCCAATCAAATCTTGCAAGAGAACACTTCTGAAGCAACTAGATCTAAGGAGATGTCCAAAAAAATGTCAAGAGAAGATTTCGAGGGAGAAAAGATTATCCGAATTCCAAAAATTCTATGCTTTAGGCACTTATGCAGCACAAAATATGTTTATTGCAGCTTGCGTGAAGGAAAACCCAATTAAACGTTCATATGTTTCTGCTTCTAGTAATCATTCAAAGAAAAAGACCTTTACTCGAATATATCATCTAAATGATGTACTAGTTTGCAAGAAAATGTTTTTAAACACCCTTCAGACAACATCCAAAAGGGTAAATACATCTCTGTGCAAAAAACGCGACGAATGCATAACAGATAAACGAGGTTCCCAAGGAGGACACAATAGAGCAACTAACGAAAGCGAAGAGTTTTTCATAAATGTTATACAAAAACTGCCAACATATGTCTCCCACTATCGCCGAGCAGATTGTAACGATGCAAAATTTTTGAGATCTGATATGACTCTCCCTTCAATTTATAAGCTATACGAAGATGAAGCAAAATTGGCTGGACAGAAGGTGCTCTCTTTTTCAAAAGTCAAACGCGTATTTCTCACGAAGTTTAATCTTCGCACAAAACCTTTAAAAAAGGATACATGTAACAAATGCGACTACTTTTCTAGCAAAAAATTAAAAGCGTCTGAAGAAGAAAAGGCTATGCTGGAAGACGCTCACAGTGAACACTTACAAAAAGCAGAAGCACTGCAACAGCAACTCAAAAACGATATGCAATTAGCTAAAGAAGATCGATTCACCGAAACAATAACATTCGACCTGCAAAAAACGCTACCCCTTCCGCGTATACCAACTAATGTAGTATTCTACAAAAGACAACTATGGGTGTACAATTGAGGAATCCACTCAGGAAGCAATGACCAGGCACATTGCAATGTTTGGGTGGAAGGTGAAGCGGGAAGGGGATCTCAAGAAGTAGGCTCCTGTTTGTATAAGCATATAATAGAAAGGTTTGGTGATAGCGGCGTGAAAAACTTAATACTTTGGAGTGACTCTTGCGGAGGTCAAAACCGAAATATTAAACTAACGTTGATGCTAAAAGCTTTATTAAACGATCACCCAACACTAGAAACGATCAGGCTACGCTTTTTAGAATCCGGTCACAGTTTCCTGCCGAATGATACTGATTTTGGCCGAATCGAATGTGCTTTAAAATTGCAACAAAGATTATATACGCCAGAGGACTATATGCAAATAATGCAGGTATGCAAGAAGAATAAACCAATGCAAGTTCAGAGAATGAAAACGGAAGATTTTTTGTCAAGTGCTAACCTAGAAAAGAAAATAACAAACAGGAAGAAAGCTACTGATGGCTCTAAAGTGTCTTGGCTTAATACAAAAGAAATAATGCTCAAAAAAGAAGATGAGTTTTCGATTTTTATGAGATCAAACCTGAATGATGACCATATTGAAGTAAATATAAAGAAAAGTTTACGAGGAAATACAGGGTTATTAACGAAACAAGCAATGGATCCGCTTTGGCCTAATAGAAAACCTATTCCTGAAGCAAAGTTGAATGACTTAAAAAGTTTGCTGCATCTTATTCCAGATGATGCTCAAGAATATTATAAAAAATTAACCGGAAGTTCAACTGTTCAAGACGACATAGATGGGTTTTCTGGTACTATTGATTTTGAAGTAGAAGTTGAAGATGCTGATTAAGTAATTGTATGTACAAGATGATGAATAATACCTAGTTGTTTCTGTTTAATGTAATTGTTTAGTTATTAACCATTTTTGTGTGTAAAAGCAGTATAAATTGTTTTTATGTTCAAGTTTCAATAAAAAAAATATGAAAAGAAACATTTATTTATCATTTATTTTTCTTAAAAAGAAAATCAAAAAAGAACCAACCCACAATACAATAGTTTTGCAAAAAGGAACCATCAGGTTTTTGATCCTAAATAAACACTAAACTGCCATAAATTAGAATTATGTTGTTTTCCTATATTCTTGCCAATACTGTCCTTTAACATTGTTAAGTTATTTATCTCATAAAACTTACCTATTTTTTTCTACATACCTTTAAAACAAAAACCTAATTATCTCAATAGTGACATGTTGTGGGTTAGTTCTAGTTTGCATAACTACGTCCAATTTAAAACAATTACTGCAGCGTAAACAGGATTTGATAAGGATGAAGTCCAAAATAGAAAAGTAAGTATTACCTTTATGAATTTCAATAAATTGGTTTGTAGGTACAGACGACGACACGTCAAGCTAAACACCGTGGGTTCTTATTTACTTGTAATAGGGGTGATTTTGCAACAAAAATGTATATTGTGTTGATGTGCTGTCGTCTGTACATTAGTGATTTTTATTCTTACGATAATAATTATTTAATTTGTCTACTTAACTGTAAATATTTACCTCGTTGACTACCTTGATGAACTATTTTAGAATAATACAATGTGACATAGTTTTCGTAAATAAAATAAACGGTCTAAGTAGGTAGGTACAGTTAGTAAGTGGTTCTAGGTACCTACGGTTAATAAGTGGTTCTGACTCGACTTCAAAAGATTATTAGGATTATCAACAAAACAAGAACAAGTAGGTACTTCCAAATTAAGATACCAAACAGTCCGAACTTCTTTAAAAAAATATTTATTACCTCAATAGAATACAATTTTATTTATCAAGATTTCCTGCGACTACTTCCAAATGAGCCATAGGCTTGTAATTTGAGTTGGTGAATTTACTCGACGACCTCTGTGGTTGAGTGGCGGTTTAGTGTTTCCAGTTCTGAGGTTCCGGTGTTCGATTTAGAAAACTATTATTATTTTGTTTCGGGTCAGTGTTTGTGATACGTTGTTCCTGATTCTGTATACCTACTAACTCCGGGATCAACACAGTGTATGAATGTGATCGTTTCAACATTTACCTGTTCATTGACTTATTAAAGTCACTTTTTAGTGTTCGTGCCCGTGGCGGGCACAAACACTAAAAAGTGACTTACGTACTACGTATTTTTTAGATCTAATACTGCAACAAGTTCTGGTTTTGGGTATTCAAGGATTCAAAGGCTAAGCCCAAACACCGTTGAAGACAGTGGATTGAAGTCAGATCATAATCCATGCTTAACCCATGAGTAAGTAAGTAGTCATAGACTTCTCATTTAAACATTATTTCTCTTTACTATAGCAATTATGTACTTGCCAAACGTGGGCTATTCGAGTTATTAGAAATACTCATTTATTTTGTCGATTAAGATATTTTATCAATCGGCGCCAGTGGGCAGTAGGTAAACATGAATAAAACTGCCTTTTTGTGTGATTTTGATTTTAGATTCTGTAAAAATGTAGGTATTTATGTATTAGTTACGAGTAAGTGAAATTATTTTTATTTTTTTCATTGATTATTTTCATTATTTTCAGACATAAACCTGTTACAAAGGACTGCTCCCAAAATATGATAGCTGAAGTGATTGAAGACAGCGATACTGAGCGCCCAAAACTAAATTTGAAATCTGGGGGCACGGCAGTGCCCCCACCAAGTCGAGCAAAAAAGCGGCACGGCCGTACCATCCTTTTCTCGAAGCAATTCAGGCCATTTTCGACCGCCTGTAACTTCGTTGTGGATAAAACTAGAAGGCTGAATTTTCATTAGCTATGCAGGCATTGTAAAGACACGGTATATTTAAAATTTCATTCAATTTGAACCAGTAGTTTAAGAATTATAACGGGTCAAAGTTACTTAATTTTGTCACTCACTGACTGACTCACTGACTCACTGCAATAGTGCGTGAGTGCGATCGAGACATATTCCAACTAGAATAATACACACTGAAAGTTGTGCTGAAAGTGACATTGCCTAATCGGTGAGACAAATATATCACTCGAAGCGGCGCTTACATGCATGCCCCGCCCTTCAGTCCATTGATGCGCCGGAGTTGACCCGCCCCCTGCCATATCTACTCATAGATGCGTAGTAGCGAGACGTCCTCATTTAGGCCTACACGGAGCGCGCTGCATTTCCGCGGACTGTTATAATTGCACCTCGCCTATTAGAATCCCAACTAATATTATAAATGCGAAAGTAACTCTGTCTGTCTGTCTGTCTGTCTGTTACGCTTTCCCGCTTAAACCTCGCAACCGATTTTGATGAAATTTGGCATAGAGATAGTTTGAGTCCCGGGAAAGAACATAGGATAGTTTTTATCCCGGTTTTTGAAACAGGGACGCGCGCGATAAAGTTTTTCTGTGACAGACAAAATTCCACGCGGGCGAAGCCGCGGGCGGAAAGCTAGTAGATACATATTTCTACAAAACAATGTCAGTAAAGCGGAGTCCACCCAAAACATCCAGCGGTACTTCTCAAAGAAGGGACCAAAAGACGCCACAAGACTCGGAAACTGTGTCAGAAATGAAAGATAGTGACTCGGCCCCCGGTCACCACATGATTACGAGGCATAAACGTAAACACGGAGAGGTGGATAACTCGGAACTAAAGGAGCTTCTATGTGACATGCAACGCAAACAACAAGCGGAGTTTTCTTCACTTAAGCAAGACATGGATACCATCAAACAACAAAACCTAGACTATCAGAAATCCCTGGAGTATTTGTCCGATATGTATGATTCCCTCCTCCGCAGGATGGACACAGTGGAGAAAGAAAACTTAGCATATAAAACACGCATAGCGAACCTTGAAGGTAAAGTTGAACAACTGGAGCGCAACCTTAAGGCCTCCTCAATTGAGATCAGGAATGTCCCGGTGTGTCAGACAGAAAATAAGTCGAGTTTGCGAGCCCATCTACTACAGCTGAGTGATGTTATAAACCTGAATATTCAAGACAAAGACATTCGGGACGTCTTCCGTATCAGAAAAAAAAATAATTCAGGCCCAATCATAGCTGAATTTACAACCAACTCCCTAAAGGAAATGTTCATTAAATCGTCTATAGATTATAACAAAGAAAGACCGAAAGAACAAAAATTAAACACATCACATCTAAAAATAGAAGGGAAACCGATGCCAATCTACATAACGGATAACTTAACTACAAAAACCCGACGACTTCACTTCCTATCCAGAGAATTTGTCAAAACTCACCAATACGCCGGCTACTGGATTGCCTACGGAAAAGTGTACCTACGGGAAAAGGAAGGAAAACCTGCACTACGCATCGACTGTGAAGAGGACCTGGCTAAACTAAACCTAAAAAAATGACTATCTGTAGGGTCTAATGTTCGCTTTAATACTACAAATATTAGTTATTTTGTCAATTGTTATTATAAGAAACTAATTAAAATACTTACTGAATCACTCACACAAACAAACACACCATATACATTAAATGGAATGCACATATTTATTTATACATTTAATCACACAACTACACTATCATTACACTACACATTGTTACAACTTAATTGTTATTCGTATTGTCCATATCCCTTTCAGGCCTGAAACCTGAATTTTTAAAATTAAGATTTTTGACTACATAGCGTCCTTTAATATTGGCTAAGATACTCCAAAAAAATAATTTAAAAAATCCCCCTCTCCCCCCTTAGCGTAGGGGGACCCTGCACGATCGTGATGCTCAGGCGTAAATCAATTATCTGCACGATAGTGATGGTGTCAGACTTTGAAGGTAAAAACATAAATAAAATAAAAAATATCATAGGAACATAATCTTTATTTATTATTTTTAGTAGTAGGAACTATAAGTAATCAGTCTTAATTAAATTGCAAATCACTTTAGACTTAAAGTCAATCATATTATAACCAAAATTATTCTTCTTCTTAAACAAACATAAAAATCTCCTTAAAATTATACAAAAATAGACAATAATTATTTAATGAACACTTTTCTCAGTCTGAAACTTACTACTTTGTATGATACGCTGAAAAACAGTTTTGTTTTCTAGACAAACAAAGATAAACCTCACATTTGTTACAAAGTATCTTTGATCTACTTTTGCAACCTTCCATCCTGCATGCTCTTGGGCTCTCTATTTCATCGAATGATGGAAGATGATCATATCCATCATACCTTTTGGCTACAGAAGGTGGATTCGGTCGACGGAACTTAGAGGTATTAGGGACCTGGTTCTCATCTTGTTCATCAGTATCAGATCTTCTTTTACGTTCTGGTGCGTTGACTAGACCATCTGACACCTGCATTCGAAACTCCAACAAGTCCATAATTTTACTTTTGGGTACTCTATTTGCAATCGATTCTAACACATACAAGCGCCAAGCATTCGAAATGGACAAGTCAAAAAAATGGAGGATGACTTTTAAAGTCCATTTTTTCGTTTTTATGAAGGTCCGGTAGTATTCTATGGACTGATCGAGTATATCAACACCTCCCATATTCTTGTTGTAATTTGAGATTACTTTTGGACACCTTACGTCTGTAAATGCTGACAGATTTTTATCCCATCGCTTAATGAGACAAGAATTATCTCCAGATGTACAATTCGATGATACTAGGACGGATTTGTTATCCATCCATTTCACAACAACAACGTCATTGCTAACGAATTGTTGAGATTCGCCACGTTTCATTTTGCGATCTTGCTTGAAGTCTATGTTTTTTCTCTCAGGAACTCTGTTCATCATAATTGTCCCGGTCCCATGAAGTCCAAATTTCGTTCAATCTCTCGAGTAAAGGTATAGATGAAAAAAACCGGTCAAAATATAGACAACTGCCACGTGGAATCGACTTAGAAAGATGTAGAATAACAGAAGCTCCAACGCCAAGAGATTTGTCTCCAAAGTTTGTTTTTGCGCCCTGATAAACTTCGAAGTCGATCATCAAACCATCGTGAGTAGTAGCGACGAAAGCTTTTAGCCCTTGTGGACGCGGCTTTGTTTTTATTACTTGTCTCAAACCACGTGGACATGTCCCAGAGAATGGAATCATTTGCTCGTCAATGGAATTAAAGCCTTGTTGGCGTTCTAATTTGTCGCAGGCATTCTTGACTTGTGTAAGAACAGGTTGCACTTTCCAGAGTGAATTCTGGTTTCCTGCAGGAGCATCATCACTATCGACAACATGGAATGCCATACGAAGAACCTTGAAACGATCTCTAGCAATCTTGTCAGCAACTAAAGCTAATCGCATTTCGATCCGCCAGTACATGTGCATGCGTGGGTACGGAATACATCCCATGATGAAATGAATCCCAACAAATTTTTTCAACTCTGCCGCTGTGGTGTTCAAAACTTTTCCCGTTTTGCGCATGTAATAATTATTAGTACAAACAGCGGCATCCTCAAAAAATTTATCATCAAAATAGTCTTCAAAGTAGGCCAAAGGAGACCTTACCGCTGCTGACGATCGCTCTGGATAGCAGTGTTCCTTCTGGCTGAATGGCATCTGCTTCCAGATTCTTCGGCGAGTATCTCGACTTTTTGTCAGCTTTTGACGAGGTTTTGGTGCAGTAGCAGACGATGGACCTGGACGGGGAGGTGATTCTGGCTCATCAGCAGGCATCAACGGCAAAACCGACTCTTCTCGATCACCTTCGTCATCTTCCACGTCTTCTATTTCGGAATCATTGCCATCTCCAATGAGCTGAAGCAACAACTCACCCGTTAGTTCCGTTCCTGAAAGCAAAAATAATGAAAACTTTAAATAAAATACAAAAAATGAATGTTTTCCCGCCATACAAAATATGACACAAAAAGATGGGTTTGAGTCGGATCGTCACTATCGTGCAAACCAATGTTTGAGAGGTTATATTCTCCAATAAAAAGTAAATAACACCAAAAATATTGTTTACCGAATGAGATTATTATCTAAACGAACTATTTAAAGCAAAATTATATCAAAACAGTTGAATAATTAACAAAATACTCAATACTTACTCTGACCACTCCGCTCGACAAAATACGCCGACATCTTCACCGCAAGGTCAAAGAGCACTGACTGCCTTCTCACTCGCACCTGCGCGTTTAATTCATAAACAGACTTGTGCACGATCGTTGGCTAGCGTCTTGGGCCCGAAAAGTTGGATAGAAAAAGCGCGGGATTTTTTTAAAATACAATGCACGATCGTGTTCCGGCGTCCTGAAAGGGATATTATTGTACTGAGCTAATATCCCGGTTTCTAATTTACTATTCTACCAAACAAACTATAATTAAAAACACCACAATTAGTATTCTTCCATTGCGTGCTGTACATGTAATTTTATTTTTCATTATAAAGTGTGTAATAAAATAAATAATATAATAAATGACTTGGATAGTTTATCTTTAGTCGACTGTGGTACCTGTGATATAGATAGCTCCTCAAACTTACTAGGCATTAGTACAAAGTCTCTAAAATTCATAGTACAAAACATAAGAAGCATTCGTTGCAATATCAACCAATTTGAGGCCCTTTTACATCGAGCTAATGTAGATTGGGACCTTCTGATTTCAACTGAATGCTGGCTTCACAAAAACCAACTCATTCCTTCTATAGATGGCTTCAGATACTTCTCCACAGCTAATAACAAAACGCAAAATGAAGGAGTGGTGATATATTATAAATCAACGCACACATTCTTAATAACAGAACCTGACATCATGGATGCAAACTCATTGTTGGTGAAACTAAGTAATGACACGGTTATCCTTGCCATCTATAGGCCACCTGGCGAGAAAAACACGAATAAATTCCTTGAATCCTTAAATACAGTTTTATTCAATCTAGTCAACTATAAAAATATCATTCTAACAGGTGACATAAATTTGGATATATTTTGTACTTCTATAGATAATCGTGCACAAAGTTACCTTAATTTGCTAGCTTCACACGGTATGTTACCTGCTTACAATATTCCAACACATACGAATACCTGTCTCGACCACATTGTAATTAAGACTAAATTATCAGTACGTTGTTTTGTTGCCAATACCACAGTGACAGACCATAATAGTATACTGATGAGCATGGACTTTCAACCACCCTCTCCTAGTAACAACAACAAAATACAAAAGCGGATTGACTTCCTAGCCTTAGATTCCGCAATCTCTAATGCTGATTTAACTCCAATTTTTTCTATGCATAATGTTAACGATGCCGTATCATTCCTTATTTCTACACTAAATTCTATTCTAAATAGCTGTACTAAGTTCGTAAAAACTCCACGACGAAAGCAGTCACTAAAGCCGTGGATTACAAATGGTCTAATAAAATGTTTAAAAAACAGGGACAAGCTGCACATGAAAACGAAAAAGGATCCTGATAATGATATACTTAAACTTACATACAAACGTTATCGTAACTTCTGCAACACATTAGTTAAAAAAACAAAAAGGGAATATGAAATAAATGAAATAAAAAAGGTACAAAACAATAGCAAAAAAAATTTTGGGAAACAATAAAGAAAATTACACACACACACAGTATCAAAAAAGTCATGCTTCTGAACTAGTTACAAATAATAATTCAAAAGAGTCAGTTAATGCAATAAATAAACATTTCGTAAATATTGGTAAAATCTTAGCAGAAAATGTACCTGTGAATAATTTATCACATGATCCCATTAGCTATCTAAGTGTGTCGCAATCTAACTCCTTAGGTATGATCTTGACAGATGAAAAAGAAGTGGAAATCATTATAAATACCTTAAAAAATAATTGTGCTTCAGGCCTCGACAGTATCTCTAGCGACTTTATCAAAAAATATAAGGCTATGTTAATACCTGTATTAACATACATATGTAACTTGGCATTGGATTCAGGGGTCTTCCCATTAGCCTTTAAGCAGGCTCTCGTACATCCTATTCATAAGAGTGGTGACAAAGACCATGTCGACAATTATCGGCCTATATCTATTCTTCCAACTTTTTCAAAAACTCTCGAAAAAATAGTAAATAAAAGACTTGTCGACTTTTTAGAGTCCAATAACTTACTGTCTAGCTCTCAATTTGGTTTTCGTAAAAATAAATCAACTAACGAAGCTGTGCACGAGCTAACAAACTACGTTGTTGACAAAATGGACAGTAAGAAAAAAGTATTGGCAATTTTTTTGGACCTAGCAAAGGCGTTCGATACGGTCTCGGTTACGATCCTGCTTAAAAAATTGGAACACCTTGGCGTAAGAGGCACTCAACTTCAATTCTTCTCCAGCTACCTCGAGGAGCGTACTCAGCGTGTTGTTATTGACGGCATAAGTAGTGATGATCACCCTATAACATATGGAGTTCCACAGGGAAGCATCTTGGGTCCTACCTTGGTAAAATAATTACTTTAGCTGATGACACAGCGCTCATTTTCCATGGTGATACTTGGGATGAGGTTTATCAACATGCACAGGAAGGATTCAATGTTGTCATTGGTTGGCTCTCCAGTAACCTGCTCACGCTAAATGTTTCCAAAACAAAATACATCGCATTTAAACATAAACATTTAGCTCCTAATCAAAAATTGGTGGCACACTGCTGTCTAG